CATGCCGTGCAATGTTTTTTGGGGAATGCATGTAATTAGTTGACAACCAAACTATTTTTGTGTTATATACAAATTAGAATTCTGTATTTTTCATTTTAGATTTTAGAATTTGCAACAAGAGAAGAGAATAATCAATTTTATTTTTATGATGACATTGATGACTTTGCTGATGATCCTCACATGTATCATATTGAATATGAAGAAGAGTTAACTGTTGTGGAAGAGATGTATTGTCGTTACACAATTCCTGTACCAGGAGCTCAGTATCTACGGTTACCAATGCCTACAGAAGGGTTTCTAGAGGAAAGAGATGTTGATCTGTTTATTGACACATTAAAGGTGAGCTGTTTCTATATTTTTGAACATTGAAGTAGTTTCAGGGGGTAACGTTATCTTTTCTAGTGCTAAAGTTGATGCAGAAGTACCATTTTTGCCTTTAAACACTAATAGTCACATTTCACAAAAGACTTTTTTTATAATTTTCTCATATGTTCTATTAAATTTATTCCAATTTGTAGCCAATTGAAAATAATTTGGTTCACAGTTAAAACAAGTCATATAATTAAAATGTGCAAAATATTGCACCAGAATCATTCAAACAGTTAAACCATCATATTCAGATTTTGTCATCTTATATAACTGTATTATTGTCAATCTGTTTTATTCCAGCAATGATATTGATCAACATTTTTTTCAAATTATATTTTAACAGTTTTGTCTAATGTTTACATAAAAATAGACCCAAATATTAAAGTGAAAAATGTTGTTATCACAAATACAATGTACTATGGCACATTAATTTGTGATTTGATTTAATTTGTCATTCGTTGTGAATATTTTTTTCAATTTTAATCAACCAGTAGCTTCGCTGTAAGTGGGTTTTGTATCTGGTGGGTTTTACGGGGAGTAGGGCTTTGTCTCAGTAACTGGTCCTTTCATCTTTGTTGAGAATTAAAGTTTTATGTTCTTTAACAACTGGCATTATTCTGGGAATACCATCCTGGCAGGAGTTCCAAAATAACCCCATGCTCTGATAATACCCCTAGTTTCAAAGACCAATAAACATTACTATTATGATCTTATTAGTATTGCTAAGGATAGTTGAATATTGTTTATTGAAATTAATAACTGTTTTCAAATATAAATAAATTGTAGTATGTAACAAACTGTATAACAAACAATGAAATAAAGGAATATATATATGTATATATATTTACATTATTACTAATGCATTGCAATAAAACTAATTCAAATTGAAAGAAATTGCAATATGAAATATTCCATCAGTACTACTTCTCAAAGGCGTATTTTGCGGTAAGTGTTATTAAATTTTATAAACTTGTTTGGCAATACCCACCCCAATTAGATATAATGTGTACATATGTCTTAATAAATATAGATGTACTAACAAAAATGAGATATAAATTATTTTATTATATAACCTGCACAATATTGATTTGATTACCAAACGTTTTCTGGGTCCATGCACTGCAAGTTACAGAAATAATTAAGACAAGGCAGTTTCGATATCAAAATCGAGAAACTCGACATACATCAACCTATAGTGACCTAAAATGACATACATCAACCTATAGAGACCTACAATGACATACATCAACCTATAGAGACCTACAATGACATACATCAACCTATAGAGACCTACAATGACATACATCAACCTATAGAGACCTACAATGACGTACATCAACCTATAGAGACCTACAATGACATACATCAACCTATAGTGACCTACAATGACATACATCAACCTATAGAGACCTACAATGACATACATCAACCTGTAGAGACCTACAATGACATACATCAACCTATAGTGACCTACAATGACATACATCAACCTATAGAGACCTACAATGACATACATCAACCTATAGTGACCTACAATGACATACATCAATCTATAGAGACCTACAATGACATACATTAACCTATAGTTACCTATAATGACATACAATGACTTACGTCAACCTATAGTGACCTACAATGAAATACATCAATCTATAGAGACCTACAATGAAATACATCAACCTATAGAGACCTACAATGACATACATCAACCTATAGAGACCTACAATGACATACATCAGCCTATAGTTACCTACAATGACATACATCAACCTATAGAGACCTACAATGACATACATCAACCTATAGTTACCTACAATGACATA